GTTAATTATTCATATTTCCCCATGAGCTGATTCGCTACAGTCATGTTTTTACATTATTGCGTCTTTTACACTAAATACTGTTTTACATTTAAATGCAGTTCTTTTTATATTTCCATGCATCAAATAATTCTAATTTATTTTGATAGTTTCCACAAAAAATATTAAACAGCACAACTGTTTTCAACATAGATAATAATAAGAAATGTTTACTGAGCCGCAAATCAGCATATTAGAATGATTTCAGAAGGATCATGTGACACTGAAGAATGGAGTAATGGCTGCTGAAAATTCAGCTTTGCCTTCACTGGAATAAATTACATTTTAATATTTGTTAGGAAATCATTTGTAGGTGCGTGGGATGAAACTACAATATAAACTAGAAAAAGTATATATAAGGTCTGAGGAAGTTCGATTGTCTGAAACTTTGCTAATAAAAATATTTTTGTGATGATGCCATTTTAAATATTATGCAGGATTTGTATAGTTTTTTTTCTATTTAAAAATATATTAAAATAGAAAACAGTTTCTATTAAATTAATGTTATTGAATTATTATGTATTACTACATTCTATTACATTAATATAATTACAGATATTATTCAATTATAATAATATTTCACAGTATTACTGTTTTTACTGTATTTTTGTAAATAGATCCTTGGTGAGCATGAGAGACCCCTTTCAAAAACATTAAAATCTTACAGACCTCAGTGTGTAAATCATTATTTTCTGGAGTAACTTACTCATTGTTATTTTTTAGTCCTAATTCTGCTGGAATGCAATATACTGTATATAATGTAGTAAAACAAATTTTACTTGCTCTAAAAGTCCAGTATACTGACAGTCAAAATAATTGTTCTCTTGTGTTGCTGAGTTCTGGATCACCAGATCTTACTGTTGTTTTTATTTCTAGGCTGACCAGAAAAAAACCAAATCCTCATTATGAATTATGAGTAATTTCCTTGACAGCAAAGTCTGTGATATCTGACAATTCGGTCTGAATATTTGCGCAATACATATGCATTCAAACATTCAATCCAGATTGTAAAGTATCCAGTCCAAACTGTGGATTTTAGGTCATTTACTGTAACATATAATTATATAATCAACATCATCTTATTTAATAGTGTCAAAGTTTTATGTCATCACACTATTGGAAATGGTCCAAACTGTTGCACATACAGTATTCCGTAAGCTGCAATGGCTCTAACTGTACACCATTGTTACATAATGCACCTGAGTGAGAGTAAATGCAGTACAGGAAGACTCACAGGAAATGTTAGGAGAAAAAAAGGCAAATACTTCAATTTAGTCAATGTTGTTTTCGTGACTGAAAGCGCTACATTTCCTGTGAGCGTGAAGCATGAGAAGCCTCTAATTCAAACATAACCATAGACAAAGCAGCGACTGACTCACATGCCTCAAACTTCCCAATGTTTTCATAGTAGCCTGTAACCGCATTTTTGTGGATTTAGGGCATTCGGGAATGGCTTTTTTGCAATATTTACTCTAATGCCACATTAGGAGCTCTCATATACAGTATTATCTCCACGAGCGTATTTGGGGAGCAAAGATCAACAAAGCTTAGGAGTAAAGCCCTTGGCATTGGCATGTGGGTTAGGTCAGCTGTTCTGCAGCAGAGACGGCCAATCAAATGCTTGTGTTTTTCATTTGTTGTTAGAACCCTTTTGAGCCCCTCGCCTTTGATAAGCTGTTCCCGCCGATGAGTCATCTTCCTCTTACCTTTCAGCATTCTCAGACAAGAGCTCATGCAAGACTCTGATGTCATTCACACGTGTCGCTCTCTAACGAATTTGCTTTAATGGCATGCTAATTCCCCTTTTAGCCCCACGTGCACTTCTGTCATAACTCATTCATACGCCATGACATCATCCACATATTTGTATGATCATTTATTTAATCATCCCAGTGGAATCACGTTCCTTTTTATTTTCAATTCACACATAAGTGAAGCCGAGTCTCACTGACTTGCTATGAAAACACAATTAGATCTTGGCAGTGGGGTCATTATTTGCTACTTATGATGAGTTTGTGCTCACTCTCTCTTGCTTTTTCCATCTCTCTCAGGTCGGCCGAGCCTGTGCTATGTTTTTGAAGGGGACGGAGTGTGTGAGGAGTTCGAAAGACGTTCCAGCATCCAGGACTGTGGCTTTTTCACTCCCCAGGGGTTCACTGATCAGTGGGCGTCCACCGCCTCGGGCTCGCATCAGGACGAGAGCTGCCCTGCCTCAAAGGTCACCGGGGAGCCTGTGCTCACTCAGGTACACAAACTGTTTAGAAATCATTAGCCATTATCAACCGTTTATCTGCCTCACTAATGAACATTGTCTTAAATGAACCACTCAAATTATCAAAAAAATCTGTTATGCTTTGAATTAAATTTTACATTTTAGATATCCTTTTTCTTTTTATATCCTCATCAGATGTGCAAGTCGCAGTATTTTGACATTAATGAAGTAGTGGCTCATGACGCCTGGAGCCCCTGTACTACCCATTTGAATGGTTACTATACTCAGGATCAGCCTGTCTGGCTAAAGGTACACACACACTTGCTCAGTGAACAAACACTGAGCGTAAAGACTTTGAATTTGACAGATTATTCTATCTATATTGGGCCATTTGATGTAAGTATTAGCTTTCCCCTCTGCTGACAGCCTTATCAATAATTAATGCACATTTTGTGTGTTTTTTTTCAAATATGCTTGAGTAAATTTGAAATGTTTTGTAAAATACGGGAAATATTTTAAGCAGTTTTATGTACACTACTGTTTAAGCTTGGGGTCAGTAAGAGTTTGCTAATTTATTTATTTATGAAATTAATACTTGTATTAAACAAGGATGCATTAAATGAATGAAAAGTGTCAGTAAAGGTTTTTATAATGTTACTAAAGATTTCTATATCAAATAATGCTGTTCTTTTGAACTTTCTATTCATCAAGGAATCCACAGAAATGGTTTCCACTTAAATATTAAGCAGCACCACTGTTTTCAACATTGCTAACAAGCAAAATTAGCAATGCACCAAAGCACCAAATCAGCACCAAAAGATTTGAGCACCAAATCAGCATATTAGTATGATTTCTGAAGGATAATAAAAATGACATTTTAAATTGTAATATTTCACAAGTACTTTTAATCAATGAGCATAAGAGACTTCTTTCAAAAACATAAAAACAAAACAAATCTGGTCCCACTTTATTTAAGGTCCAATTCTCACTATTAACAAACTATTAACTACAACGTTTGCCTTAATAAACCCCCAATTTGCTGCTTATTAATAGTTAGTAAGGTAGTTGTTGAGTTTAGGTATTGGGTAGGATTAGGCATATAGAATATGTTCATGCAGAATATGTGCTTTATCAGTACTAATAAACAGCCAAAATGTTAATGCTAATAAGCAACTAGTAATAGTGAGAATTGCTCCCTATACCTATAAAGTGTTACCAAAAATCTTACCATTCCCAAATTTTTAAACAATATATATGTATGTATATTCAGATTTTTTTCCCCCGTATTTATGGCACTTATATTTCTATGTGCCATCTATGGCCATTCAGAGAGTTCATAAATGATGTTAGCTAAGGAGCCATATATTAATTACTAATAATACTGATACTATGTTTTTGCAGGTAGGATTTGAGCGACCGGGTGTAGCAGCCTCTGTTATTATCTACCTTGCCTATGATGGTAGTTGGCATGACGAAAATTGCAGGAAAACAGTGACCATTGAACTGTGTGACACCACTGGAAAAAAACACAATCTTGGTAACACATAATATCTTTAATTTGATTGTGAAAGATTGTAAATTTTGTATTTTTATGTGACTTTGTTGTGTGTGCCTGTCCACAGGTTCGTACGAGCTGTCATGTCAGTATAACCCCCTAGTGGTGAATGTGACTCATAACCTGAGTGTGCCCTTCTACCAGACTTCAGCAGTGCAGCTCAACTTCTCCTCCTCTCAAGTGGCGGTGTTGGCAGTTGCATTGCGTACATCTTGTCACTTCAGCGCCTTTGCCCTGACCGGGTGCGCTGAGGGTGGGGTCTCCCACGACTTACAAGCACACACAGACAGACACACACACACACACACACACACACACACACACACACACACACACACACACACACACATACATATACAGTAGTCAACATTTGAAGTGGATCAAAAAAGTTTATCAAAGTTGTCCTAAGACAAGAACACATTTTGGTTGTAGGTTTTAGGACAACTTTGATGAAAGGTTTTGATCCACTTCAAATGTTGACTAGTTACTAGTGTACAGTATATATAAACACTACAAGTTAGGGATCTGTACAATTTTTTAACGTTTTTGAAAGGAGTCTCTTATGCTCACCAAAGCTGCATGTATTTGATCAAATATACAGTAAAACACTACTATTTTAAATATGATCATAATTTTTTATGTAATGTATTCCTGTGATGGTGAATTTTCAACAGCCATTACTCCAGTCTTCAGTGTCATATGCTTCTTGAGAAATCAGCCTAATATTCTGATTTTGTACTCAAAAAACGTCCCTGATTATTATCAGTGTTGAAAACATTTGTGCTGCTTAATATTTTTGTGGAAACCATTAGTTCCCTTTCATGGGAACTTCGAACTGCATCCTCTAGGGGTCGCTATGGGGAACGCCTCGTCGTGACTCGTATCTGAAGCATACATTGAAAAAACACCAACCCAAGATTCTTTTATGAATAGAAAGTTCAAAAGAACAGCAATTACTTGAAAAATAAATCTTTTGAATGTCTTTACTCTCACTTTTAATCAACTTCTACTAGCTTTTTTTTTAATTAAACTGTTCTAGCTGAATAAAAATATTATTTCTTTCAAAAAGCAAAAAACAAAACAAAATGACATATCCCAAACTTTTGAATGGTAGTATATAAAAGACAAATACATCATACACTTACACAGAGACACAGATACAAATGCAAACAATTCCATCGTGTTTGATGGTGGATATGATGTCTGTCAATGTCTACAAATAATAATTAAATTAATGTGTTTTTCTCACTCAGATGTGTGCGTAGGCTGTGCAGTACTGAGTCATGCAGTCCTCTAAACGTCGAACATGCTTCAGTCCGCTGTACTCCAGTCATAGACTCCAAACACTGCTCTGTTTCTTGTCATCGTGGTTATATGCTCACCGTTCTCCATGGCCAGGGCCTTCCTTCTCATCAAGTGTGTACAAGTATTGTTAACATCCTGATTCTTTCTCTCTGCAATAACCCCTTTAAGAAAGAAAAATCACATCTCCTTGATATCTAGTTTCTGCTAAGTAGCAGTGAGATTAAATGAGAACATATTGCTTTTTCTGAAGATTTTTTTTCCCCGAGAAGAGATCTCAACAATGACTGTGTTCATTTTCTGTTAATAATTGAATTAGTCATTTTCCAGTTAGTGCTTCAGGTAAACATGTTTACATGATCCAAAATTTTGATTAATACAGCCATAAGCAAGCCATCTTATTCATATTTCTAGGAATATTGGCTTAATCGGGTCATGTAAACACCTTATTCTTAACTGGAGGCCCATTTATACAGTATGTGCGCATGTCCAAACAAAGATAATTTAGGGTGATATTAGATATACGCAGTGTTTATTCAGTAGTTTGACTTTTTCACAACTGTTTTGGAGCAAGAAGCATTTTGTAAACATAAAAAGAAAGGTCTACTTTTGTAAGTCTTGTGACGTACATTTTCCAAATCATCACATTCCTGTTTGTTATTGTGAAAGAGTTGATTAAATTATTGTGGAGAATTACTAAAATGCAGTGTAAGGGCAAGAGCATCTACAGTAATTCTAGAAGACAAGAGCAGGAACCCACATGTCTTAGTTTATTCAGATTTTGCTAAATACCAGAATATTCCAGTAACTGTAGAGAACATAAACGCTTAAAATCATGTTCACATGTTCGAGGTCTCAAATTGTGTTCACATTTACCAAAATACAAAAGTCTGTAAATTCAAACATTTCTCATCAAGTTATCTAAGAAAAGATATTCACACTGATTTTATAACTCAATGAAACAACGTCTTATTTGTGTCAAGTTAAATAATTATCATGTTGTCTAATGAGCCTAATGAAACTATGACATTATAAGGGGCAGTCTTTCTGTTTGTTTTGTCCTCTCCTCTCCTCTCCTCAGACGGAAGCAGAGCTGATTTGTGTGCATGGAGTGTGGGACCGTGTAGTGAGCTGTCAGCCAGTGGACTGCGGCCCACCTCCTCAGTCTCACGTCTACTTTGCCTCCTTCTCGTGTCCCTGGGGCACCACATTCGGCAAGCAGTGCACCTTTTCCTGTAACGCCCCGGCGATCCTGCAAGGTGAGGATGGGAACTGGGCTACAGTGTGAGACCTGAGGGTTTCTGGATTCCTTACATTCAGTGCATGTGTCTGTTTCTGTGAGACTTTGGGCTTCTTTTCTAAAATAATAAGACTTTAAGTCAATAACTGTATATTTGTGGGTGATATGAACCCTTCTTGTGTGTTTGCCCATGTAAACTGGAAAAAATCCAATCAAAATCAAATCATTTGACTCAGAACTGCTAGTTGTGCCAGCACTAGTAAACATATAAATATTACTGCAAACAAATATGTATTATCATAAAATAATTGAATAATTGTAGTGTAATTTTATTTAATGATAGTCTAGAACCATAAAAACGATTTTGTTACTTGAAACAAAATACAATTTAATAATATATTATATTATATTATATTATGTTATGTTATATTATATTATATTATTATATTATAAAAAATATATTATTGTTTGCTGTCAGCACTGTTATGGTTTGTGGAGAGGGTTTTCTGCTTTTTGAGGCAAATAGTGATTTAAAGCTGGACATGACACAGATAATGAGAAACCACAATGATAGTCAAAGTGCAGTTGTTTAGAGAACTCCAATCAATATAATATATTATATTATAAAAAAATAAAATACTTTATTGATTTGTTTGCTGTCACCGCTGTTATGGTTTGTGGAGAGGGTTTTCTGCTTTTTGAGGTAAATAGTGATTTAAAGCTGGACATGACACAGATAATGAGAAACCACAATGATAGTCAAAGTGCAGTGGTTTAGAGAACGCCAATCAATCATGTAGTTTTTTTTTTTTTACAGTGCTAAGCTAAATATTTGGATTTTTGTATGTATGTGTGCTTACATACAGTATATAGTCATTTGTGTGTCAGTGTTGTTCTTGCTCTCATTCAGGAACTGTGTGTCGGTCTGGCTGTGGTCCCAGCCCTCTTTCCTGGCTGTGTAAATAGAAAAGTAGACCCTAGCTGCAGGAGAACAGCACACAGGTGGAGATAGGAAACAAGCAAGTAGGCAAAAACAAGAGTGGGTTTCATCCCATACTACTGAAGCCCCCAGAGAGCCCCTCATTTAGGACAGCATAGAGCAGGCTGGCACTTAGCCCTCTTGCCTCTTGATAACTATGGCAAGGTGGCTCAGGGGTCGAGGGACCACTCCTCACACTCTCACTATTTGTTTTAAATGCAGGCTTTTGATGGATCGGTCCACATTTTTTTCTTTTGGCAGGGAGCGGTGCAGTCTGTGGTCAGTGGCTTCACTGGAAGGTCCAGGACATTGCATCACTGAGTAGCTATGCTTATTGGTCTTGATGGCAAGGTTCTTGTACTGTAGTGCTTTAAAGTGATGGGCTGTAGTGCCCCTTAGGGAGTTTTTAAAATCTATTCATGACTTGACATTAATTGGAACACACAAAAATAATACAGTGATTTATGTACTTAGTGAAAGACTTTTTTTTTTAATTTGAAGTGGCGCAAGCTGAAACTCTTCATGCATGTTGGAAAAATGCAGTTTGCAGCCATTTTTGGTATAGCTAAATTTAAGCACAGCTACAAAGTAGGCAGACACCTTAAAGCTTAAAGGAATCATTATATTTTATTGACCAATAAAACTGCTTTAGAACTTGAACAAAATCTAATTAGATATGTTGCTATAATAGTACAATGAGAGAGTCCTATATCACATGGCACCACTGCACCATGTGCTTTCTTTTATAAAGTGAGATTTTATGAAAACCACTGTAATACGTCTCTTATTAGTTAATAGAAACAGAAAAAAAATATGACTTTTAAAACATATTATATTACCGTAATTAATGTTTTACATATTACTGTAAAACATTTATGCCTGTGCAAAGGTATTATTTCCAAACTTAATGGAAGTAGATATTGTGACACTCATTGTTTGTAATATTTATTAATTTATTATAAATTATGATGCTTTTCATTCACAAAATTACTTGAATACAGCTCTTCTTCTTTGAACATGTTTTAACCTCTATTAAAATTAATTTGTAATTAATATTAAAAATGAATTTAATGTAATTAATTTAATATTGTAATGTAATTCATTTAATATAAACAATATCAGGGTAAAACAACCATCCTTATTGATAATACAGAATGAATGAATGAATGAATGAATGAATGAATATATAAATAAATAAAAACTTTAATAAAAGAATGATTGAAAATATTTTTTTCTTTTTTATGTCTAAAAATATTTTAACAAAACTACTTTACTGCTTATTGTTTGAATTCATGCTAAAAGTAATAGGTGCGATCAACATGGAAGCTGGTAAAAAAAAAAACTCCTTACCTTGAAAAAATATATTTAAATACTTTTTTCCTGAAAATAATGATTAAGTACACTCAGAAATAGTAGAACTGACTGCCCTCTTGCCTTCTTATGAAAAGCCCTTTACTACTTATACTGACAGCATTTTTGTTCCATTGGGTTTCTTATCAGGATCTGTTTTTCAGGTGAAAGTGACACATTGGTTTGTCTTGAGGATGGACTATGGTCATATCCAGAGGCTTACTGCAAGATTGAGTGTCCGGATCCACCTTCTGTACCCAATGCCACGCTGCTAGTTCCTCAGTGTCATGGAGGCGGGCATGACGTGGGCACTGTGTGCCGCTACAAATGTAACCCGGGATATTACGTCACTGGCACACTCAACAAAAAGCCAAGAAAGTGAGTTGCAGTCTGTATGGTCTGAACTGATTTCTAGGCATAGGTTACCCTGTTGACAAATTTTGAGGGTAAAATATATGTTTCCAGCATCTAGGTTGCTCACATGGTTCTAATAAGATCAAAATCTTACTCCATGTGTTTCCAAATATCTTTCAGCAATGGAGTCAACAGTGTACTTTGATGAATGGTTTGATGGCGTGTTGTTTTGGTATTTCATCCAATCAAGCTATAGCATAATTTAGCACATCTGAGGGGACTAGCGTTTGCACCTGCCTCGTCTTTATGAGTTATTAAAATGGCTGGTAAAATACCTCATTGTCTTTTAACTGCTTTTAATTGGGCATTAATACCAGAAGCGATAGCCAGCGTGTCTCATAAAGCCATTTAAATGATCCTGTTTATTAAGACCATTGGAATGTTTGTTCTAAAAGGCATTTCATTATGAAGGTTCAGCAAATGGTTTATGACGGTTTAAAGAGAGGTGTTATGCTATTATCAAGGTAGTTTTAGCCTGTGCTTCCGTATGATCTTTCTCAATGAACACTACACCCCAATTTATTTCCTCAGGATTTATTGGCTATTTGGTCATACCAGATGGTTTGTCACATGGCTTAGATGTGAATAAATCCCCTGTGGCTGGAGGAGAATATCATTCAAGAAACATAGTAATTGCTGCATTCATGTTGTGCAAAAATTCAGACCAGAAGCAGATTGAGAACCTACAATTGCATTTCAGCATGTGTTTAATGTAACAATTCTATTAACTGTCTCAAAAATCTAGTGAACAACCTATTGATACAGCTTTTTTATGCATTTCTCTAATTGTAAACAACAAAAGTATAATACCTTCTAAGGCCATTATTGTTTAATTATGTTTTTATTACATCCTTCTAAGGCCATTGTTGATTAATTATGTTTTTTATTACACCCTTCTAAGGCCATTGTTGTTTTTTATTCCATAATTAAAAGCATTAAAATTTCATAGTTCAATTCATTAAAAAAGGCATTGTTAGCTTAGCAACATGCTAGCATCACAAGTAGTTAGGATAGGATGCTCTTTATAGAGACAGACAGCCACACTGTACAAGTTACTAAGATTTTTTTTTTATTGATTGATTTTTTATTAATATTTTAATTTAGCAAGGATGCAATAAGTACATCAAAAAAAGACAAATAAATTTTTTGGAAGCTTAAAAGTTAATTGTGAGATTCCTTTTTTCTCTCTCAATTCTGAGTTTACATATTGCAATTCTAAGTTTGCATTTTATGCTTAATTTTTCGTTTTGTTTCCACCACAGAATAAAAAACAAAAATGATAATTGTGAATATTTTGTCTCACATGGCTTAATTTTTTTCTCGCAATTCTTAGTTTATATCTCGCAATTAATATAAATCGCAACTGTGAGGAAAAAAGTCAAATGGGAGATAAAAAGTTTACATAGTTCTTTTGAACTTTCTGTTTAAAGAATCATTGACTGATTTAAATGCTTTCTATATTTTTTCTATCTATCTATCTATCTATCTATCTATCTATCTATCTATCTATCTATCTATCTATTAGGGCTGACCCCTAATAGTCGACTAATCGTTAGTCGACCAGAAGAGGCTTGGTCGACCAAAAGTTTATTAGTAGCTTAGTTGCAGAAAAAAAAATCCACATTGGCGAAGTCACGCAGATCGTGACGGATAGATCGGTAACGGCTGGACCTATGTGGTGATACAGTACGGTGAAGTACATCGATCAGGACATCCAAACGCTCGACTATCATTCATCAACCTCAAATATGACTTATCATCTGAAATATTTTAGTAGCAGCAACTTTACATGGCTGCTCAATCTAATGTTAACCTAGAGAAATAGGTTAACATTAGATAGACTAAACAGTAGCGTGCTCACAAGACAGATGGAGGCGCCGGTGCGGTCAATTGCTCTTAAAATTCTCCTTCATTTTTGGTTATACAGATAAGAGTAATACATCTTTTGAATATATAAAGACTCTACATTTATTT